GGACTCCATAATTTTCCTGCCTAAGCAGTCTTTGTTTTCATTCTTTCTTTTTTTCCCCAATTTTTTTATTTGAATTAGAAATAAGACTGTTTTGCATGTCAATCCCTGTTCTCACTCCCTTCCCTCCTCCCCTACCAGGCCCCCCAACTAAAACCCTACCTATCACATATCCTTTCTGCTTCCCAGGGAGGGTGAGGCCTTCAATAGGGGTTCATTAGAGTCTATCATATCCTTTGGGATAGGGCTTAGGCCCACCTCCATGTGTCTTGGCTGAGGGAGTTTTCCCTCTATTGTTTTCAATCTTTCATGTGAGCTTCCCATACTCACTCTCAGTTCCATTCCATTCCCTTTGTGGAATGGAAGCTGTCAGACACACCTCTCCATGACCTTCAATCCTGGAACCCATCTGAAGGTCTTCTATGTCCCCCCAACCCAAGTCCTTAGGAATCTACTATGATTTTCCTCCTAGATGTGAAAGTGGTCCAAGAATCTCACACTGAAAGGCAGTATTCATTTACTTCAAGACAGGACTCCTTCCAAGTTACCAATGAGAACATGGCACATAGTAACAGAAGTAGGGAGCTTGAGGCTAGGAAGATGCTTTAATTGGTTAAGTGCCTGCTGAACAAGAAAGAAGATCTGAATTCAGATCCCTAGCACCCACATAAAAGCTAGTCATTGTGGCCCTTGTGTGGTGGGTCTATGACCCTACTGCTAGGTGGGGATCAGAAGCAGGCAGATCTCTGGTGCTTGCTGACCAGCCAGTGTAGCCAATTAAGTTTAGTGAGAGAGCCAATCTCAACAAATAAGATGGAGAGAGATTGAAGAAAATACCTGTAGCTGTTCTCTCTCTTTTACATACATACACACACACACACACACACACACACACACACACACACACACACGAGTTTAAGATCACTGGAGAGATGGAAAAAAGAAAATTCTCCTTTCAACCAAGCTCCTAGAGCACTAGAAAACAAATTACAATTCAGTGTTTGCTTTTTGTGACATGACAGCTACTGTAGTTGCTGATACCACATACAAACAGTGAGAGGAATAAACAGAAATGGTGCCTTTCTTGCCCTCCCCATAATGATGTCATCAAGAAACTTCAATAAGACTCTTCACAGGCAATTATTAAAAACAGCTTTTCCTCTTGACAAACATTAAGTAGTGAAATTGCCAGCTCTAGGTGTCTTTTCTATGCCAGATATTTGTTTCATCTGTTTAAGATAGGAAGCTTACTCATTCAAGATTTTAATTCATTCACTCATTCATTTATTCAGTGCTCTATTAGTTATTTTTCTCATTGCTGGTACAAAATACCCAACAAAAGCAACTTGGTTAGGCTCTGGTCTGCCATGGCAGGGAATGCATGGAATGCTGATGCCCACCTCGCTTTCTCCTTTTCATTCAGCCTCGGACCCCAGCCCACTAACTGGTTAGGATCACAGTCAGGGTGGGTCTTCTCTATTCAACTAACATAATCTTGAAGCTACCTCACAAACATGCCCAGAAGTTTGTTGCCATGGTGATTCTATATCCTTCCAAGTTGATAATCACCATTAGTCATCGCAACACCTTTTTATCAAATGACTCCTAGATCCCAGGTCTGGTGTCTCATACTTGAGATAAAATGGTGAACAGGAACATGAGTCTTACAGTAGCAGTGGTGGGAAGGGCTATCGGATCATGGGAAACTTATTAAGTGCTATGAGGTATTGTTGGGCTGCCAGCCCAGAGAGTGAGTCTTCATGAAGTTCAGGCTAAACATAGAAATAAAGGCAAGTTGCAATTTTTATGACTTACTTTTATTTGTGACTTAGGAAATGTTTTTTGGGGAGGCACAGCAGGATATTTTAAAATGGGATGGCTTGCCCTGGAGTTAGGACATGAGGAACATCCATGACCTCATGAAGGCAGCTCACATCTTCTAAAATGCTTTTCAAATGATGTAGCTCTGACTCTCTAAAAAGAAATGAATCAAAGAAATATCCCAATCACCCCAGAACTATTGGTTTTCTACCCAACAGCTGTTTTTACTTGTGCTGGCCCCTTCTCTGGGGCTTGTAATAGCTTTGTGACATCAACTATGAGAAAATAGTTTAACACTCACTCTGGGGTTCTCGTTTGTGGGACAAGTAGATCACACCATCTCCTCGAGAGGAATGATGTATCGAGGTCCAGAGACAACATGGGCTTACACTTGCCCTTCTTCAGCTGATTCCATGGGCTGAGAGAATGCAGCCCATACCAGAATCCTAGGATTTGACAGTTTGTCTTAATTGATCACAAGCCACAAGTCTTACATGGCAACTCAGGCATGTGGCCATTTTTCTGTTTTTGGTAATCTTCTATTGATGCTCCTACAGCACGCACACATACATTTACACAGCTTCTCAGTCTAACCTCACAGGGTCAGACAGAGTCTTATGTGTAATAAAAAAGACTCTTCTTCATTGTAGCTGTGCCAGTGAGGCGGGACATCCCATGGCCACTTATTCTCTGCATTTTGAACAGTTGTGGATCTTGGCAGTAGCCTTCATATGCTTCAAAAAGAACCAAAACACTTCTTTGATGAGGAGTGATAACTACACTTATTTGTGTGTACCTAAAAGCAATACTAAATAGGCTCAGTAGGCTGTGATCTCTCTCTCTCTCTCTCTCTCTCTCTCTCTCTCTCTCTCTCGCTCTCGCTCTCTCTCTCTCTCACACACACACACACACAAACATACATATTCTCACATACACACATTTAATAATAATTATTGAAGGGGTCACATACTTAAGAAGTATCGGAAAAGCCGGGTGGTGGTGGCGCACACCTTTAATCCCAGCACTTGGGAGGCAGAGGCAGGCAGATTCTGTGAGTTCGAGGCCCACCTGGTCTATAAAAGCCAGTTCCAGGACAGGTTCCAAAGCCACAGAGAAACCCTGTCTCGAAAGCCCCCCCCAAAAAAAAAGTAGCAGGAACATGGGAAGAGTTGGAGGGAAGAGGGAGAGGCAGATATGAAGTAAATAGAGTACTTAGGCATGAAATTCTCCAAAAATAAAAAGTCTCTTCAAAGACCTCATTGAACTTAACCTCACATAGATTAACAGCAAGTGCATACACCCCTTCTGTGGAAACTTTAAGTTGATTTTATGGGAAACCAGAGTAAGAATGCCAAGAAACCTAAACAGAAGCTTTCCTTTGTTAGGGTAGGGGGCAGGTCTCTAGTGCACCCCTTCCCCTTCCCCCACACAGTCCTGTTTCTGGTCCTTAAAGCTGCCCCACATCTCTTCCTCCTTATCCACAGACCAACAGTAGCACCTCCTGATGTTGGAATGATCTGATCCTGACCCAAATTTAGTGTTTTCAACTGGCCTCTATTTGAATGGCATGTCTACCTGGTTCTACAGCCACGGGTTGTAGATGTCTGTTTCTTCCAGGCTTGCTGTTCTACTCTGACTCATGTTCCCACCCTTTGGCTTCTCACTTTCTCTCTCAGTGAAAGCTTGACCCTGACCTTGACACTACCTGACTCAGATCTTAGGGACTTGCTAACCTGCTGTCAGTTTCTCCCTTCCTCTCAGTCACCTCTGGCAAAAGTGGATTCACATAATAGTACTTCCTCATACAAATGCATCATTCAAAGTATGATAATGGTACTATGGTGGCTGTGTGATGTTAGTAAGCTAGCCTTGCCTTATTGTGTTTTTCTGTTTTACCTTAGTGATTTCGGTGGACACCCGACAAAGGGAAGTCTCTAAAGAAAAGATGTTTACTTATGAAAGTTCCAGAGATTGAAAAACTTAATGCTGAGGGCCCATACCTGTTGAGAACCTTCTGATTAATAGACAACCTCTATTGAATTCCAAAATGATACAGGGTATTACATAGCAAGACAGAGTAATCAACTAGAGAGATCACTTTGACAATAAAGCCACTTCTGCAATAATCCGTTAATCTGCTAATCCATTAATCCATGGATGGATTCATCTTCTTGGTAGGGTCCTTGTGACTCATTCACCTCCCAAACACAATTAGCTAGGGAGATTGGGAATGGACTTTCAGCAAACTGACATTCTTCCCAGAAGCCACATTGAGCAGCTCTAAACAACCTGTAACTGCAGTTCCAGGGGATCCCAAACTCTCTCTGACCTCTATGGACACCTGTTTGCATGTGGTGCACATAAACTCATGCAGGCTCCCACACATACATATAAATTAAAAAGATAATTGTTAAGGACAAAGGTATGTGATTTCAAGAAAGTGTAGAAGACCCCCCCCCCCCCCCCCCCCCCGCGGGGGGGGGGAAAAAAAAAAACAAAAAAAAAAAAAAAAAAAAAAAAAACAACCAGTGGACAGCACCTCAGGGAAATAACTATCAAAAAGGATGAACTATGTAATTACTTTAAACCTAACACAAAAACATCTTCTAGGGCATGATGTTTCTTACAATAGAGTTTCAGATAACTCCAGAGAATCAAATGTATAATTCCTCTTCCAAAAAGGTATAGCAGGTTTACTTCTCTCCATTCACCCTATGTGTAATTCTAAACATTACCTATAGAACAGAAAGCAGGAGATTCCAAAGGGAAAAGAGGTAGGGAACTTTGGGACATGTTGAACAAGACAGAAGTGCAGCTTCTTGTTTTGCTTTTTGCCTCAAGAATTCTGAATTCTGGAAACCTCTGAGCACAGACTAAAATAGTCACAGTAAAAGCCTCTTTCTCTAGCCAAGAAATCAGAAATTGAGTGGCCTAGTAAGTTAGGGGACTTTTAGACTTTTCTTGACTCTCTCAAAAGACCACAGAAAGCTGTTGTGATCCCACCCCTAACAATGCAAGGGACGGAGTAATAGGTAGAGAGCTAGAAATAAATATACAAAGTTGCTTTAATAGTTGACTATCATCCCATACAATCTACACCACCAATAAACTAGTGAAGAAAAACAGTGTGTGGATATAACTGATGCAATAAAAAAAGCATTTGGGAAAATGCTATTACTTACTCATGGTCAACAGCTCTCAGAGAAAGAATAGCAGGGGACATCTCCAATTTGGTAAATGAGCATCTATGGAGAGAACCTATAGTTAATATTTCAGTTGTTGACAAAAGAGCAAATGCTTTACTTTTTTTTAATTTGGGCTCAAGGAATGATTTCCCCCTTGTATTAAACACTAACCACATTTAACATAAACACTATATATGCAGTAAAACAAGAATAACACTGGCATACCTTTTGGAGAGGGAGATCTAGTCATCTTTATTTCTTATGACATAAATTTCTGTATAAATGTTAAGGAATCTACAAATGTTTCTTAGGATATATGAATTCAAGCAACCCATAGAATAAAGAATCAATATAGAAAATTAATGTCTATGAGAGTCAAAATACAATATTTTTTAGTCATTCAAAACTGAAGTATTCAGATATTAATCTAATAAACTGGGTCCAGAATTCATGTATTTAAAGCTACAAAATACCAACAAAACTCACCAAGAAAGACAAATAATTACAGAAGCAGATTGATTGTGGATTAGAATGTAAAACACAGTATATATGTCAGTTCTTTGATAATTAACATACATGTCTTAACAAGAAGCCAGTCAAATTTTGTGTAAAATATATTCTAAATATAGACAGAATCATTATAAAATTATATTGGAACCCAAAAAATTTTTTTCAAAAAGGTGTATAAAAAGAAGAAAAAGGTGTTTGAAATCATTCTGCCTGATTCAAGATATATATAACCCAGTAGCTAAGGCCAATACTAGCAGAGGGACAGACACAGATCAAACTACCAGAGAATAGAACTCATGTGGTGAACTATTCAGGTGTGCCCAACTGTTTTTAAGATTTATTTGCTTTTATTTCATGTGTATGTGTGCTTTGCCTGTGTATATGTATATGCATCACATGCATGCAAGGTGCCTGTAGAGGTCAGAAGACGGTGCCAGATACTCTGGAACTGGAGTTACCTATGGTGTGAGCCACCATACAGGTGGTAGGAACCCAACCCAGGTCCTCCAGAAGAGCTGCCAAGTGTCCTGTAATTTTTCAGATGTTTTCTTCTTAAGAAAGTACAGAGTTTCAATTTAGAGCTGCAATGGCTATTGGAAATTATAATGCAGAAAAATAAATACAAAACAAATTTCTAAAAGGGAGAGAGAGTCTCTAAAATTAGAGTGCGCTTTATTTAAAGTAGTATGTAGCTCCTCAAACCTTGAATTGCACTCTTGAGAGATCTACGTATCCCATTAAGTAAAAAGATGTGTAGGATGTGCTGGTCAAGGTGACCCAGAGCAAAAGCCAGTGTCAATCAACATGCTTAAAGGTTTGAATTGTGCAGTTTCCAAAAATTATCTTCCTTTTCTAATTTAAATTTTTATTTTGGAAATTTATTTATTAGGATCCCAACTAAGCCTTGCCCTTGTGAGTAAATGTATATGTTCACATGCTTTGTGTGTGTGTGTGTGTGTGTGTGTGTGTGTGTGTGTGTGTGTGTATGTATGTATGTATGTATGTATGTATGTATGTATGTATGTATGTGTGATCTGTTTTTAAATCTGCTTTGAATTTTTATACCATAACAAAATATTTTCATATAATTACTGCTAAAAAAAACTTGTACAACCACTTTGGAAATCAGTATGGTAGTTTCTCAGGAAAATGGGAATAAATGGGAATCAGTCTACCTCAAGATCCAGTAATTCCTCTCTTGGCATATACCCAAAGAATGCACATTCATACAGTAAGGGCATATGTTCAACTATGTTCATTATTTGTAATAGCCAGAACCTGGAAGCAACCTAGATGCCCCTCAATTAAAGAATGGATAGAGAAAATGTGGTACATTTACACAATGGAGTACCACTTAGTGGGGGAAAAAATGGAATCTTGAAATTCGCAGGCAAATGGATGGAACTAGAAGAAACCATCCTAAATGAGGTAACCCAGTCACAAAAAGACAAACATGAGCCTTCACCCAGTAGCTGTTCAAAGCAGAAACAAGCACCCACAGCTAAACACTGAACCATACTCCTGGAATCCAGTTGTGGAGAGGGAGGAGGGATGAGCAAAGGAGCCAAGACGGTCTATAGGACCTCTAACAGTGGAGCCAGTCTTTATCCCTAGAGCACAAATGGACTTTGGGAGCCCATTCCCTATGGAGGAATACTATTGCAGCCCAGATACAGCAAGCAGGGCCTAGGTCCTCCCCCTGATGATGTGATGGGCATAGAGGGCCTCCCTATCCCTGGGGAGGAGTTGGGGCATGGGTTGTGGGGGTTGGTAGGGAACAAGGGAGGAGGGGAGTGTGAGGGAATGGGAGGGAATGGATATGTAAATATGAGTACTTCTAAAATAAAAAATTTCAAAAGCCAGTCTTTTCAATTCATGTTAATTTTCCTGCTGAAAAAAAAAAAAAAAAAAAAAAAAAACTTCAGTTGTAGCCCTGAAGCCTTGCCTAGCTGCCTTTTTCTTGGTTCTGCACATTATTGTAGTCATCTCTCAGTTTGTAGCTGTTACAAGGCAAACCATCCCTCATAGTTCTGATTGACTTTTCTGCAAAGGGAGTCATGTCAGTTGTGACAGGAACAAAGTCCCCATGTACAGACATCCAAAGCAGAGGAAACTTCTGACCTGAGGATTAGCCACCAAATCTGGACTCAAGGTAACATTTGTGGAAAGAAAGGGGGTGGATTCCAGTGACAATTATGGAGGCAAAGGCATGCATTACCTCATTTGGCTGTGATATGCTTCAAGCCATGATGGTAAGGACCTCAGAGGTTGGGGCTACCAAGCTCAAGTCCAAACTATCAAGACTGAGAAACAGAATTGGCCTCTGATGGTAACATGAAGAGCCTGTCAGCATTATACCAAGTTAAAAAATATGTGGCTCCTATTTACCGAGAAGCCCTCATTTAAGTCTAAGTGGAATTGTTTGGCAGAAATGGTTAGATTACAGGGTCATTTAGGACATGAGGCAGAAAATTATGGCCTATTTTAGTAAAGGTGATTTCATCAGTATTTATGGCTTGTAGTAGTTACTTTTCATGACCAAGACAACTTATGGAAGGGAGATTTTAATTGGAACCTACAGTTTCAGAGGGATAAAAGTCCATCACCACCGTGGTTGGGAGCATGGCAGCAGGCAAGCATGGCACTGGAGCAGTAGCTGAGGGCACACACCTTGATCCAGACACAGAAAGCAGAGGGCACACTGGAAATGGTGTGAGTCTAGAACAAGTCTTTTGAAATCTCAAAGCCTACTTTCTAATGACACACCTCCTCCAACAAGGCCACACCTCCTAATCCTTCCCAAACAGTCCTACAAACTAGGAAGTGAATATTCAACACATGAGCTTATGGGAGCCATTCTCACTCAAGCCACCACATGTTTCTTCATATACTACAAGTGGCAAAACTGAGCACTTGTGACAGATACTGCAGACTTCCAAAGGCTACCTGGTACTTTACAGATAGTGTTGGGGAATAATCATTCAGGAAGATGGTGAGTTTGAGGTCAGCAGTGCAGTTTCAGGTATGTGATTTTATTAGAGACACACCCAAGGCAAGAAATTGGATGAACTTAGAATCAAAGAGAGAAGCAAGAAGATCCAAGTCGGATGCCTATACCACAGCTGGATAGCACAGAGTATGGAGTCCCAAGTATAGTCAGAAACCAAACAAAAGAGTAGCTGTGTTGAAAGAAAAAAGATCTCACAGATTAAAGGAAGACGGAAACTCCATATGTTTGTGGGAATTCTACTCATTATGTTACGGACAGTACTAAGGCAAGGACAGCAAGTCCAATTTCAATGATTTTTCTTGTGAGTTTGAGCCAGATGTCAGTTTCAAGAATGCAGTGATATGCCAGTTCTCTACCAAGAGAGTTCAGCTAACTTCTATCTTTCTATAAAATCAAAGGCAGATGGGTATACACTCTTTAATTCCTATTTGAGGTTGTCACTTGTCATCACCATCAACCATAGATGATGAGATTAAAATATCTCCCAGTGGGGAAATGTTATCAGATTTAAGAAATAAAAATATGTGACACCTAGGAAAAGTTTAGTTTCAGATCAACAAAGAAAGAAAAAAAAATACCTCAAATGTTTCATTGGATATTATTACACTAAGAATTAATTGTTACATGAAATTCAAATCTCACAGAAAGCTCTGCTTTTTGTCTCTCGACAGTGTTCCGGGTAATTATGACTAAATCAACCAATGTTTTAACTTCTGGGGAAACATGACATTTATAGACCTCTAGGACTTCCCCTCCCCCCTTACCCCCGTCTTTCCTTCTACATACCACGTTCTACCTATTCCATGTGTTTGTATACCTGCAAGTATGTATAAACAGGTTCAAATGTGAGTGTGAGTGCCCATGTATGTATGTCTTGTGGAGACCAGAAGACAACAAGTAGCCTTCTACTTATTTTTTTGAGGCAGGACTTCTCATTGGCTTGGAGTTCACTAAATAGGTTAGGATAACTGGCCAGCAAGCCTCCAGGACCTGCCTGTCTCCACCTTCATAGTGTTGAGATTATAAAGTGCCCCCTTGGCTAGCTTTTATAAATGTGGATTTGGGAGCTATAATGCAAATCCTCCTGTTTATGGGGTAGGCACTTTACTGACGGAACTATCTGTTAACTCCTCACCTTCTTTTATGTCCATTCTCCTACTTCCATTCTAAGAGCTGTCCTGGAGAGACCCAGTCATATCTATTAATACTTCGCAGAATTATAATGTGGCTTTAACAGCCACTGATTGGAGCAGAGGAAAGGTGAAAACAGAAAGAAGTTGCGTTCCTTAAAGTGACTCACAGGAAGGAAAGCTGGTAAGCAGGCAGTTGGATGATAGGCCTCTGACTCACTGGGGAGTCCTTTGCTAGAGCTTTGCAACCGTCTGTCACCATTAGTGATGCTGACGCTAGTTAGTGTGCTATCTGACAAACCACCGTATTTCCTTGGTAGCACATACAATGAATACTTTCTTGGTTAAAACTTAGGTTTAGACTAAACTGTTGGGTACTTGCTGGTTCCAAACAATGAATTAAAACTGACGTTTGAAAAAGCTTCTTAGACAAAACACTTAAGAACCTATGAGGTCTATGCTCGTGGTTTGAAGTGTTATGCTAGTGCTCTATTCTTTGACCTTGTTCTAGGGAAATGTTCAAGAGAAGTCAAATCTGTGGCCTTTGTCTGTGCTGTGGTTGCAGAGGATAAACCTCACCTGAAATTCAGAGGATGTGGGCTCAGATTATGTTCAGTGATGACTTTAAGAATATAGGGAACATGTAAACCCTAGAAAACATGAAATCAGAGTGATTCCCATGACTCTCCCAGTCCACCAGTCTTCAGTAGCCCCATGGCAGCTTTAGAAGTGTTCATTTTATTTCCCTGCAAAAGTAAATTGTGACTGTAAGGACTGTGACCAGCTTACAGCCTCTAGCCTTTGCCTCAGAGCATCGTACTGGTTTTGAAGCTGAGGGCATCTCAGTCTCTCAGGCAGCCACTAGACAATGGCTGAACATGCTGGAACATGGGCATTTCTTTAAAACTCCAACTTCTCAAATGAACAGTCTTTGTTCTGGAATTCCCCACTGGGCTAGCCAGAACTCTTTGGGGTCACTGTCATCCCACTTCCTTCTATAGCTTCATAAGTTGTTATGCCCCAGGACAGTGACTGGATGCCTCTTGCCACTGTGTTCTTGTGTTGATTTACCTCTCAAGGTTGACAGTGCTAGGAAGTAGGTCTTTGGGAGGTTACTGAGTCAACGGTGAAGTCTGAGATTAGTGCCCTTATGAAAGAGAGATCCCCAAAAGCCCTCTTTCTTTTTCTGCCATACAGGGTACAATGAACAGCTAGAATCTGCAAGTAGAAGAGGAACCAGGCTAGCATCCTCACTTTGAACTTCCAGCCTCCCAAACTGGGGCAAACAAATATGTTAGTTAAGCAACCTTGCCTATGGTACTTGGCTATAAAAGCCCAAACAAAAGAAGGCATACCATAAATCCCATCTTGAATTCTTAATTCTACTTCAGTATCTGTGCTTGAAGACATACCAGGCACAACCATGGGGCCCCCCAAGGGACTGACCATGTCCTATTCTGTCAAGGGGAAAGATACCCTGAGGAGAAAATAATGAGAAGGGTTAAGAATAAATCTATTTCTTCTTTTCCTTGAATGAATGAGAGTGAAAAGAGAGGTAGAAGAGTCTGGCTTTCAAATAGCAGGCCATGCCTCCCTCACTCCTTGGGTCAAACCTTCACTAGAAAGGGGACTGTAGAAGTATAGGAAGACATTGGTGAACTAAGAACACAGCCTGGAGGTGACTGAAAGCACCCAGGAAAAGCCTCTCAAGTTTTTTGGCACAGTGTCCATGGGTAATACAGTGTAGCATGGCCAGAAGGACTCTCATAGACAGCAGCATGATTTATCCCTATGTGACTACGGATCCTGGTTAAGGTCAGAGAAGTTCAGGTGGTCAGTGGAAATGCAGAGGCCCAAGGCTGGAAAGTGGCAGCTGCTGAAATGAAACATTTTGATTTCTGGTGGCAAGATATCACCAGTGTTTCATGGATATGAACACTACTGCATGCCAAAGGATAATCTGAACCAGGAGAACCTTGAGAGACATTAGCACAGAATCCGATTCAACCTCATAGAGGTGCCTATGAAGAAAAGCCCAAGTCCCTCAGAGCCCCTTGAGTTGATGTGTTGCCTCCAGCCTCACCTCCACTACTCCCTCTCATTTTCTTCTTCAGCCACAGTAGCCCCTGTGGAATGTTCTTTCTCTGTGTTCCAGCACAACAGCTCCTGCCATCTGTTAAAGGTTGACCCTGGCAGAGCCCTGGCCTTGAGCCCCTGACTGTCCTCTATAGAATTACAAATTTCCTCTCCAATCCTGACCCCACGGCTGTCTATATGTGTGAAATACAATATAGTTTACTTATTTGTATACCTGTTATGCTAGTTAAATGTGATTTTTATCATCTATGTCTCTTACTAGAACATAGGCTTTTTCCATGAGCTCAGAAACTTCTAACTATTTTGTTCACCATGGAGCCCAACACTTTAAACAGGGCCTAGCAGGCAGTGGATACTTGCATCATCTTTATTAACTAAATGCATGAATCGCTACCCCCCCATAAGCCCCCCCCCAACTTGTTATCTATGTGGCTTCCCTTCCTCTGGCTCCTTTTAATTCTCTTCCTTTGTATAAAAGCAAACACAAAAGCTAAACACTTGCTAGAAGCAATGACACCCCGTTTTCTCAACTTATGGAAATTCATATGTAAACATGTGTTTATTGTCTCCTTCTAGATGGGCAATGGGGCATGTGCACCATGAACAGAGTAAGATCTGGGCTGGGATTCTTGTCCTGGCTGGGCTTTTCCACTGTCCCAGCTGCCATTCAGCCTCCTCCACCTCCTGAAGCTTCCACACTCACATTCCTGCTTACTGACTTCCAGTTGGCTCCTCAGCAAAGTGAGCAGAGCTTGGGCTGGACTAAGGACAGCCTACAGGCTCTAAATTTCCACTCCTGCCCTGCCCAGCCCATCTCCAGGCCCCTGCTCATTGACTGCATTGCTCTAGAAACACGTGCACTGGACTACTGCCCAGAGCTGGGCTGCAGACTCCGTGCGTTCAGAAAGTAAATCACAGGCACAAACCTACAACTCTGGAATGGAAAGTGTATGCAGAGGCCCAGGCCAGAGCTCTGGAAGAATTCTATGCAAGGTTTCCTCCTGTCACCAAGGAAGGAACATTCCGAAGCCACATTCTGGGTAGCTGGGTGGTAGCAGCTGCCAGTGGGTGAGGCTAGAGGCCAACACCCAAATCCTTGACTCTGCCCTTCCTCCAACATCCCAAAAGAAGCCATAAGAGGAGTTGGAATGGGGTGAGGGAGTGCTGCCTTTGAAATTCAACCCCAGGCTTGCTAAAACCCACTCTAGGGTCCTCTGTGCCTCTTTCAGGAGTTGCTAGAGCCTCTGACTTCTCAGCTATGAGGGTGTGTGTTTGTGTTCTAAAGAAAACACCTGGTTCAGGGGTTTGGGCTTTTTATTTTTTTGTTGGTTTTGTTTTGTTTTTCCTTAGGGTCAGGAAAGATTGGTGACTGAGTGAATCTGATATATTGAGTGTAAAGCTGTGTGAGTTGGAATGTCTCATTACCTCAGGGCACGGCAAATGAGGAGGGGAGCCAAGAGCAAAGCCCCAAAGGTTGGATCCCCTCTGTGAGCTTGCCTACCTTTGTGGAACAAAGCACAACACACAGAGCATGCATAATGGTAAGTTAATAATACTGACCGCTCTTCCAGAGGACCAGGGTTCAATTCCCAGCATTCACATGGCAGCTCACAACTGTCTGTGACTCCAGTTCCAGGGGATCCAATACCCTCACACAGACATATATGAAAGCAAAAACACCAATGCACATAAAAATATTTTAAAAAAAGAAGCCATGGAGCCTTCTAACTGCCTACTCCAAAATCAACCACTGCTTTCCACAGGTAAGTGTCCAGATAAGACCACAGTCTGACAAACATTTGAGAGTATTGAGTAATTACTCAATATTCCTGTCCTTTCATCTTTACCCAGCCTGTCAAATCCCACCCCATTCTCCTCCCCACACATGTGCCTCTTGTATGCCCAGACCCCCATATAAAGAAGGCTTGCTTTCCCCTGTTTTCCAGATGAGAAGATGGAGCCTGGGGGAGATGGAGTAACAAAAAACAGTGCCAAAAATATAGCCAAAAGGCATTTCAAATCCTGGTCTCATGGCTGTAATATAGATGTTTCTCAGTCCCTTACGGTAGACAAGTTCCTTAAAAGTGAGCTGTGCACGAGTCTGGGGCATGAAACCACAGAGCCTACAGATGAGGTTGCAAACTGTAGCTCAAAGCCATAAGAGGAAGAGCCAAGGAGAAGAGGAACCACATTGCAGGAGGACCTCGGTGTGTCTCACGCATGCTGAGTATTTACATGTGTTCCCTATTCAGTCTCCATAGCAACTGGCAGAGATGCAAAAATGCCTCCTCACTATGTGTAAGAGGATGAGAGGAGGGCCCTCCAAGATCCTCTTTCTCCCAGCCGGCAGGGCTATTTCTATCTGCAGGCTCCATGACTTCTCCCAGCAACTATTTTGGCACGAAGGTTTCAAACAGCAGAGAGGGAGTGAATGCACTCGATAGGTATTTGAACTGCATATAACGGAAAGGCCTCATCTCCTGCTGCTGTTTCCAAATAATTATTCATAGAGCCGGGAAAGGATTTTCTTATTAAGCATTAAAGAACAGAGAGGCTGTGGTTTCTAGCTTTTAACCACAATGTTGAAGGCGTGTCTCCATTTTTCTTACAATTTCCAACCATATGTGTTACCTAATTCTCCCCAAAGAATCCAAATTGCTCTATGATGCACACGTACCAATGGTGTAAACTGAAGCTTGGAGCCAGTGAACATCTTTCTCAGAAACCTCCCATTGCAATCCTTGCTCCCACATCGCCTCTGGAAGCAAACCCTTCTGCCAGAGACCCTCAAATGTTACATGGAGATTTTGGGTTAGAAATAAAGTTTGCATTGCTACACAATTCCAACTGTGACATACATGCAACCAAAATGTTTTTAAGTCTTGACATTGAAGTCTGTGTCTTACTGTGGAGTATACGTTGTGAGTGGTAGATGACAATGCATTTGTGAGTCAATAGCAATCAAGTGCTTTGGAGGAAGCAAGAGCAAAAGCATTTCTGCCTCTTTCCAAACACTAAGATCTTACAACCCATGAATAAGACTTTCCTATAGTGAAACAGACTGCACAATCTACAAATGATGGACACAAATTCCAAGGACCATATGAAAAACTCCTGTGCAAGTGTCTCTCTGAGATTGGATTTGGGACAGACTAGTGATTCTGGTGTGGGTACAGAGAAGGCAGCTCATAAACAAATAAAATCAGAATTTTCAAATGTAGCTATCAAATGTGACTCACCCCAAGCTTTTATATGCCTTTATTTGAGAAAATCATGCCATGCACAAAGTAAAATTTATACTATAGCTATGCTTGATGGGGAATTTTCCTATAGAAACCAGATTGATTGAAGCTTTTGTTCTCAAACTTCCAGCTGGCATTTCATGTGGTGGAACATGCAAGCTGGATAGTGATTTCTTTTCAACATTCATACCAACTTTGGAAAAGAAGAATCACAAATAACAAAGCCTGAGCTTCCCTGACCCAAACACAAAGGTATATTTTTAAATAATCTATCACTTCATAAATCCTTTTTGCTTAGCAGCTAAGCAACTACACAGGAGGTTTCCCGAAGCTACCACACTTTCGCTAGGCATCTGCCAAGAATATGAAGATCATAGAAATAAATTAGATGGTCCCTGCCTTAAGACACATATGACATATATGACACTGGGAAGGAAATACACTTAGAGCTTCTAGGAGATGGCCCCAGCTCGTGGGTGGCTGTCAGACCTCACTCAGTGGCTTCCTCCTGAGTCCCTTGCTCATTGTCAGCAGGAGGCTGCTTGGCCTGGCTGACTGTGGACCAGACTGATAACTTCAGTCAACTGGGAGTTGCTGTCCACAGCCTGACACATAGAGGCTTGCCTTCTGTTCTTTCTCTAGAAGTTGCTTTAGAAAAAACACCACGTTTAAAAACAGATAATATAAATATTACCCTGTGGTGCACTTTAGAAATATTATCATAATAAACATCATGAGACACTTGTGGTGTGTACAGCACCATGTTAGATTTCAGTGACAAAGCTCTTTTATTTAATACATCATGGAAAGCTTTAAAAAGAGGTAGACGAGTAAGAAAAATGACTAGTGTATGTGAAAATAGGATATGAGAAGGCAGTTATCAGAATTCAGCTAAGTCTTGGCTCTGACCTCAGCTGGCTCATTGATTAAGCCCTGTGACTTCTCCAGCCTTTGCCCTCTTTAATTGTGACATAGGTTTGTGACTAGGGAAAGAGAAGCAGTCTACATACTCTCCAAGTTGCATTTCTGTTTACAAATCCCCTGACTTTTTGAACTTTCTAGAATTAGTCTGTACTCTATGGGCAAGATTCTCTTTGACCTATGTATGTGTTTCCTATAGTTGCCATAGCAAAGTACCACAGTGCTGAACAGTAGAAATCTATTGTCACTTGGTTCTGGAAGTTAGAATGCCACAGATCTAAGTGTCAGGAGTTTGTTTTCTTCTAAGGGCTGGCAGGAAGGATCAATTCATGCATGTTGCCTTGCTTCCAAATTTTTGGCCATCTCTGACAGAGTCCTTGTCTTGGAGAAATCTGACTTTGGATTCTCATGGTGTTTTCTACTCTGCATCTGAATCCAAATTTCCCCTTTTACTAAGATACCAATTAAGGATCTACCCTGTTTTTATAATATCTTATCTATAGCATTATAACTAACTCCGTTTACAAAGACTTTCCTTCCCAAATCAGTTCACATTCTGAGGTTTTGGGGTTGGATTTCAAACCCTGAGAGAAGCACAATTCAACAGTAACAACACTTACTTGCTCCTGGGTCCATTCTGATCCAAGATAGTAAATAGTAAATTTTCTCATTTCAGTTGTCAGTTCTAACTAAGTGGAGTGATTAGATGAGATATTGTAAACAGAAGGGCCATGAGATGACATCTGGAGTTATAAGGATGATTGGTGTTTTCTTTTGTCTTGTATACAGGATATAGAGAGCAGGGCTTTATCAGCCCATCTGGGGAGCAGAGGACATTAAAATCCCATCATTCATCCTAGAAGTAGGGAATCTCACCAAAAATGTGAAAAACCAACCACCTTCTTATCAGACCTCTTCAACTGAGATGATCCCCAAAGGCGGTAGCCAGCTTGCCCTTTACTTCTACTGCAGAAACTCCTGCAGCGTTGTTGACTCCATCTGAGAGCATCAAATCTCAAGAAGGACTGAGCAAGTTCAAGGTAAGCAGGATTGATGATTTGGGGGAGAATATGCCCTTAGAAAGGAACAGTGCCCTGAACTTTCTACATATTATCTCTGCTGAGGTGGTGGGTGAGAACTTGCTTCCACTGGAGAGTCACAGCTGACTAAGAGTCACAGCTGGATGCAGGCGGAGAATGAGATTCTGGAAGCACAAAGAATGAATTCTCACTCCACTCTGGGTATGTACCAGTGCAAAACTATCAGATGATAACAGCTGCTGTGGGAATAAAGACAAGTGGACATGTGTTGAGCTCCAGCTAGACCAGAGACTACAGACAGTGGGGACGCACCTATCTGTGCCTATGGGCACAAAGGAAATACTTTCATGTCACCAAGGGAAGAGTGACTGGAAATGTTAGAGGTAGTTTGGGATATCCAGAGAAATTTTTCATTTTGAAATTTTGCCTCTGCTGAGGCACTTGGGGGCAGCCTAGGTGACTGTCTAAGCAATGCCCCTTAGGAGAGGAAATTTGGCTGGGGCATTTTCATCTGAGGGACAAATGTCACTGACATGGCACTTGCTTCATCATAAGAGTGGGCTTGGGTGGGTTTCAGGCCCTTTCACAGTTTTTCCACTAGTGGAGCGACATTACTTCCACTGTGTGGTAGAGAGATACACAGTGATTCCAGATAGGTGCACGGATAGATACATGGTGATCCCAGCTTTTCATTGTCCCCTTTGGTAGCACCTTCCCACACTGATTCTTCTGTTAGTTATGTAAATTGTTCTGACACCAGAAAAAGCTTCAAAAATCCTTTTCCTTCTTGACCTTTGCCTTCCCTGTGAGACCATGCCTGTCCCGGCTGGCCCTGCTGGAGGTAAATCAGCATTTGTGTGATTCATGGAAATAGCTTAGTCATCAAGACGCCGCCATCCTATACCAGTTACTCCAGTCACCTAACAAATTAACCACAAGCACATGAGTGAGTCCAGCTGACATCAGCCAAGCTCCACCCAGATTAGCAGAACCACCTGGTGACCAGTAGAATCATGAAGAAAATCTTTGAGGAAAAAAGAATGGTTGTTGCTTAAATTGCTTAATTTGGGGGTGGTTTGTTATACAACATTAATTATACAGCTGTCTCCATCATGCAGGGTGAAGAGGGGGAGGGCCTGAGATTGAACTGATGTTGTGTTTACTGTTGGAACTCAGTTATTAGTAGGAAACTTTAAGGAGACAGAGCTCTTAAAAGACTACGTACATTCAGGGACAGAATTCATCTAAGAGAAGAAGTCAAACCGAGAAGGCCAGGAACAAAGACATGGTCATCATTGGCTAAGAAAGTCCATCATAGTATCTACCACTGTGGTGGGTCTCCTGGCTAAGGCACAGTGGATTCTCGTTGGTTCCTACAGTTGCAGGTACAAGGAAGAAAGGCTGAAAGGGTTACTTCAATGACAGCTTGTGGGATACTGTATCCCAAGCACCCCAGCTTTAAAATTGATCTGGAGCCAGGGAAATGGCCCAGCAGGTAAAAGCACTTGCCATGTAAGCCTTGTGGCCTGAGTTCATTCCCCCAGAATGCCTTCAAAAAAGCTGGATGCTATAGTGTTTATCTGTAATCTACTCAGTGAGGTGCGAGGCAGAGATGGGAGAATTAACCAGAAGCTTGAAAGCCAGCTGATCTGGAGGACATAGCTCAGCAGCAGAAACAGATTGCTTGGAAGGAGATAGTGGTACCAAAAGAGGAAGACATGGTCTTCCACATCTGTACTATCCTATTCTGGAAGTTCTGTTTTATTTGTGAGACAACTAGAACTCAAAAGGCAGGGCATTGGATGAATCTGGCTTTTGTAGTTTACACCCCTGAGGCTCTGTTCTGTCAGGGTTTTACTTTGTGATTTTGGCCAAATGACCCTTCCCCAGGCCTTTTGTTATAGGCCTGTACCCCAAATGCTCAGGAGACTGAAGAAGACCACTAGTTCTATAACCCACGTTATAGAACAAGTTTGAGGCTATTCTATGCAACTTTAGGTGACCCTGTCTCAAAATTAAAAAAGCAAAAAGAGGCTGTGGATCTAGCCCAGTGGTAGGGGATTTGCCCACTATGCACAAAACCCCAAATTCAATTGTCGGCATGTCAAAAACAAAGCAACATTCCTGTCTGCAATACTGTTAGTTCAAGGTCTCTGCCTGAAAAATGGACACAGTAACAATACTTGTCTCATGGTTCTTGTGAATATTAAATGAGCATGCAGAATGCTCAAAAGACAGCTTGAAACACAGGACTGTCAATGAGAGCAATGAAGAGCTCCTTTAGGTCATCCTTACCATAACCGTCTCTATTTTCTCCAATCTACCTAAAAGCACATTGGTGCAATGGCCTGAATGTTTGTGCCTCCCAAAATTCATATAGTAAGACACCCATGTCCAACATGATGGAACCTTTTGAAAGACTTGAGTATAGCTCTTGTGTATGAGATTGTTGTACTTAAAAAGGAGGGATCATTTCTCCTTTGAAGCAGATCCAACTGTGAGCCCTGGGCTGGGAGATGGCTCATTTGTGTAAATGCTTGCCATACCAGTGTGAGGACCAGAGCTGAATCCTCAGAACCTATACAAATGGCAGTGGGCCTGGTAGCCTGCCTGTACTTCCAGCATGGGAAGACTGAGGCTCCCCAGACCAAGCTGGCTAGCAAGAATAACCTTACTGACAAGCTCTGGGTTTGACTGAGAGACCTGCTTTGATAAATAAGATGGAACAGCAGGGATGATGATTTCCAACATCAGCCTCAGGCCTTCATATGTACATGCACACTCACTGAAACATGTATACACACATACATAAACACACAGCACATCACATACACATATCACACCACACATACCACGCATGCTCACACATATACACACATGTACAACACATACACATCACACTATGTGTCACACACATAACATGCCACATATGTATATCATACCACACACACACAGAGACACAGACACAGACACACACACACACACACACACACACACACACACACACACATCATACCACACCCACACAAGACACCCATGCATACACACATACATACATACAACACACAATCTGTGCCATATGTACACACACACATTTTCACTCACACATACACAGATACAACACACACACATGCCTCACAGACACCCCACCACACATATGTATCATACAACACACATACAACACACACATACTTGCACCACACACACATGTACCACATACATACACAACATACTCAACACACACATCATACCACACTATAAACACTAAAAAGAAACCGAAAAAGTAGATTTTCATGTCACCAAAATAGTGGACCTTTATTTTGGACTTTTCAGGCTTCATCACTGTGGGAAATAAACTTCTGTTATTAATAAATTCCTCAAATAATGGTCAACTCTATGGCTGCCTGAACAAACAAAGACAGCTGGATTCTAGTTTTTCTTGATAGGAAGCTCTGGCGGCAGGTTCTCAGTGACCCAGCTGCCCTGTGATCTTAGGCCATGGGGCCTGGCACAAGCTTCCAAATGGAGGTGCTGTTTCCTCAGCAGTCTGGCTCCCATTCCCAGGTCATTCTTGGAATGTGTCACTCCCAGTCATGCCCAGTGTGTATGTGAAATCTGAGTCGAGTGTCACTGCACAGTGAGAGGGCAGGGCAGGGGAGATGGAGAAGCAGGCCTGAGCCAACCAAAGCCAACAGCTCCTGGGGACACAAACTGCTTCTGCCCAACAGCTATCTACACTACTGAGGAGTCTGCTGTCTATGGGAGGAAGATGCTGGTCCCTGGGCCGGAACAACAGCTCTCAGAGTCTGTCAGGGATTCGTGTGTGAGGTTTGTGGGGAGCAGGGGGACACTAAGAGAAACATCACTGAGCGGAGTGGCAGGGGTCCTTGCTCTCCCAGCTTTTGTTTCCTTTACTCTTAAGGAGCAAGATGCCCAGATGACAGAGCCCTTGCTCCACTGTGGGACAGGGTAGGGGAGGCAGCAGACACTTGCCAGAGATAGCTTGTCTCCACACTTACCTCTTCAGCCTTCCAGCTACATGCTCTTAGGAAATAGTGCAAACTCTCCGTGCAAACTCAAATTCAACAACTGTATGTAGGGGGAGGTCCCAACTTCTATTTGAGGATCATTGAAATAAATGTGTGTCTTGGCCTTTTGAAGGCAAGAAGTTTTGTGCACACAGATTTCATTTACTCATTTGCTTTCCGTCTGTACCCTCTTTCTCTTTCCTGCTTACTCTCTACCCTTCCTTTTCTTCTTCCTTCCCTCCTTCCTTCCTTCCCTCCTTCCTTCCTTCCTTCCTTCCTTCCTTCCTTCCTTCCTCCCCTCTCTCTCTTTCTTTCTCCTTTTTCTTATGCCTGCACCTTAGGCCTGGAATTTTCAAATGTTTCCACATAATACCTCTGATAATTAAAAAAGAATAAAAAACGATTCACAACCAAGTGCCCAATACAGGTATGAGATTCTAGTGCTGCCTCATATTTTACTTCTAAGATTCATGTAACTCCTGGATTTTATCATATGTCCAAATGGGTTAGATCCAGTTCTTGGCTGTTTAAGATAGAGTCCATTGCAACTGTTCAGACAGAACCATGGATTCTGCATAAGATAGGGGGTGCTGGCCCCCCTACATATCAGAAACACGACAAAGCCATCTTCTACTTCTCTGAGAATACCAGTGGGACTCGTGTTGATTTCAGTGCTCCAGCCTGGTTAAGATGTCCTGCTTTAACCCCACTAGGGACCTGATGAAAAGATGTGCCACTGCTCCACGTGGAAATGGGTGGCTCTGCCAGAGTGCTGCCCTCTCCCATATTGTCCTCAGGCCAGTTGAAGTGTTGAGTGGCTGGGTGTGCACAGCCTAAGGCTCACCCATAACATTGCTATAAGAGAAGATTGAAGAGTAAGTAAATTCCAGCTTCTATATGTGGACTAGTTCTTGAAGAGAACAACTCTTAAAACATACTGAGCGGTTGGCAGTGAGCCTAAGCTATCCATTGTCTGCATGAACATTATTTTGTAGCCACCAATTTGCAAGGGAAGTAAATGTTTCATAAATAGACTTCCTGTTGTTTCAAAGTTTTCTCCTTTTGCTAGTGCACATGCTCCCAGGAATGTGAATGTTATCTCCCTAGGCTCTCTGACCATTGTCATGGCCGAGACCTGGGGCTAGTGAGACTTATCCTCACAAGTGAGCAGTTCCCATCTCCAAGGGGATGAATGGTGTCAGGTATAAAACTCATGTCTAGGTCTTTTACTATAGGAGCCAGAAATCCCACTGTGAAGATCATATTCCAATGTCTCTTGTGGTTGGTTTTCATGTCTTCCTAGCACACTTTGACCTGTGAGCTTATATTCTATCTAGTGAAAGTGATTTGAATTCATAGGTAACTTTGAGCTCTCTTCATAGGGAAGCATTAGGCCAGTCTTTTGTCATAGTTAGCAATTCCTGTTGGAGGCGGGGGCGATGGCTCAGTCAGTAAAGTTCTTGTCCTGAAAGCATGAGAACACGAGCTTTGAGTCGCCCAAACCCATGTAAAAAATAATCCAGGCATGGTGTTGCCTGGGGAGACAGAGACAGGAAGATTCCAGGGGCTCACACAGGAATGGCACCCAAAATTGACCTCTGGCCTTAGCAAGCACATGCATATATGTACATAAATATACAAACATGGTTACACATATACACACATATAAAAGAGTCACAATTTCTGCTAGAAGCGAAACCACTAGAAGCAGTCGTGAAGGACCTGCACTCTCTTGGAAATTCGAGTTATTTTATTTATAGATGACCCAAAGTTTCATCCTTTCCATGAGCACAAGGCCCCAAAGCTATAATTGAATATTCTAGAGAAAGAACACATGACTCAAATTTCCCTGTCGCTGAAGGTGATGGGATCATTAACCATGGAGGTTAACGCCTTTCTGCAAAATGCAAGTTGACATTCTCCCCAAAACATGTCTCTGTCATTGTTTGGAATGATTCTCCTGCAAATTCTCCCTGGGTAGTGGAATTGTAAACCAATGGCCGGATTTCAAATATGTACATGCAGAATGAGAGATGTTTTCCAGTTGGTCACTAGAAATGGAATCTACGTAGGAACCTCACAGTTTGTAAATTACATACCACTGCATTGTTTTCTTCTATAATTAGAACCCCATAGCTTTGTTGTTGAAGAGGAGAGAATTCGGGTCCTGTCTGAGGAATAGAAAGTTACCCTAGATGTTGAGGCTGTAAATTCTTAACTTCATGAGGCCCTACTTCTTTGCTTGAAGAGAAGCCCCATCTCTTGATATCTGATTTTGCACCCTTGAATAAGGTCTGCCTGCTGCCAAGCCCAGCTATATTCCATATAAAGGATGTGCTCCATCTCTCTCCATCCTACCCATACCAGTGTGCTAGGTTGCCCAAGCTTGCTTTTGGCACAGACTTGGACCTCACTAATGTTATTTGTACTTCTTTGAGAATAACCAGTGTCTTGTAAGAGGCAGTAGATAGGCACTCAAGGTCTATATATTCAAATATGAATTTGAAACATGGCTTGCTTATCCTGACAACACATCGGACAGAGTTACAAAGATGGGATACTGTTGGCAGTAATAAACCCCTGGTTCTGTAAATCATGTACAACAGCTGTCATATACATTAGCTCTTAGTGTCCCTCTGGTATTTCTGAGTATTGTGCCAAATGTTCTCAAGAAAGCTCTTGCCATTTCTACTTTGTACCTGATGATTTTTGTCTCATTCTCTACCAAAGATATCTGCCTGGGACCATGGTTCTTCAGCCAGTGGAAGAATGTTCATGATCAAGACTCCTTCTGTGTATTCCAGGTCCCTGCTGAACTTCATAGTCTGGAAATCTTGGCTGCTCAAGTTTTTCTCACAGCCTGTCTTCCTGCAAAACACTCACAGAAAGAACATATGGGGCTGGTCTCAATATGGATGCAGCTAAGACATCAACCATAGTGGATCCAGAATCATCCCATCTTTTTGTCCATGGATGCCTTGTTATCTGGTCCAACCTCTTCATTGAGATTCTCCAACCCTATTCCACTGCCAACTTGTTGAGTGATCATGGGCAAAGTTTTTAACCTCTCTTGGTTTTGATGTAGTCACATGTAAACTATGTGCTAGATAGTTTCTGTGTTCCCTCCTGTTCCAGGACTTGGCCCTTTGGAAACAAAGTGCTTTATCATTCAGTACACAAGAAGGCACTAACTAGTGCTGTGTCAAGCACTGGCTGCAAGAAATAACAATTTTTGTTTATTAATTGTTATTTTCTTACTCTTTCTAACAAGCAATGGTCCTCTCTGACCATCAGGCTTCTTAGAACCCTTCAGCAGCTTCCCCATCGTACTTTGTAGAAACATCAAGACAAAGTGGCATCCTATCCTGTGACATTACCTCACACTTAGTTAATACACTCCAGATGCACCAGCTCTCTTTCTGTCTCTCTCTTTCTGGAATAGGCTGAGCCATATCAACTAAAGACTTTTTGCAAGAACTTTTTGTCCTACCAGGAATGTTCATCCCCAAGGCAACCTATGATTGTCCCTTTCTCATCATATATGTCCTCAGGGTACCTTGTGAGTTAGTCTCCCCACTTTCATTTACCTTGTTTTATTATGGCTAGTGGATGAAACTTATTGTCTATAGATTCTTTTGTGCTGCAAGAGCTGGCTGAATATTATGTATGAGGCATAGACACAGAGACTGTACCATCTGCTAGTTGAAAACATTCATCATCTGGTTTATGTAGGGAAAGATTTCTAATCCCTGTATCCTATAGTGTCATTTATTCACAGTGCATATAGTATTTTAACTGTTAAACCAAACTTCTTCCTATTTTGTTTGCTTTTAACTTTTTTCCCTAACAAGAATGTAAATGCCTTCAAGTTAAGGGACTCATCTGTCTTGATCTAGGTGGTTTTATTAGCCTGACACAAAGCCAATAAATAATGGTAGAACAGATGGACCAGGTCTATTTCCTTTTGCTCAACAGAAGCAACAAAAAGTTTAATATTCATCATAAAATAAAACTCTCCACCTCCTGGCCTTTACAACAGTCCCATGATCCACTGCCAAGCTCTTCTCTACCCCTGCCTCTAATTCTCATTATGTTAATTTTTTTTTTTGCTTTGTGCTGACACTCCTAACTGCCAGTAACTTCTTTCCTCTCTCTCTGACAACTCTCTGGCCCAGTTCTTGGCCCTCAGTGAAACTTGCAGCCCTCCAGGCAGAAATTGATTGCTAGGATGCCAATTCAGGCCAGTACTGCCTCCCTTTTAGATATTTATGGGCAGGGCTCTGAATTGTGAGGGACTCATGAACTCAGACACATTTTTAAGAGAACTTTATAGTTAAACCTCTGTTTGGCTAAGGGCTTATTTTAAAAAATAATAAATCTAGGTTCTTAGAGAATAGAACTCAAGGGGCAGAAGTTTGAATCTATAAAGTTCACATATCAGTCATGGAGGAGCCCTTGCAGCCATCTAGTGTTTCTCAAACTTCTCTATCTCAGTCCACCTAATGGTAGATCTGAATATCATATCTCCCCACATGGAAAAAGAGTCAGTGTTTACACTAAATCTCCATAATGTTTTTCACTGTGATAATTCATTATAACATTGTGCTGGTTGGTTTTTGTCAACTGGACATAAACCTAGATATACCAGAGGAGAGAGAATATAAACTGAAAAATTTGCATATCTCAGATTTACCCAGGGGTTATCTGTAGGGTATTGTGGACTGTGGGGGTATAGTCTTTATTAATGACAGATGTGAGAGGGCCCAGCTCACTGTGGGCAGTGCCATCCCTGGGCAAGAAGTCATGGCTTCTATAAAGCAGCAGTCTGAGCAAGCCATGAGGAGCAATTCAGTAAGCAGCACCCCTCTATGTCCTCTCCTTCAGTTTCTACCCTTTATGATGGACTACAAACTGTAAGCCAAAATAAACCCTTTCCTTCCACATTGCTTTTGGTCATGGTCTATCACTAGAAAGAAAATAGAAAAAAAAGCATTATATTCTATTTCATAGTGCAATTTAAGAAGTAATTTTTACTAAGAGGTTCAACTGTTGCAACCACACCTTTATAATGTTAAAACAAAAATCATGGTCTGCACCCATCTTTTGTACCCTTCTACCTGTGTTGACATTCCTAGTAAGACAGTTAGCAAGCTCAGGGTCCAAGTTGTTTTTTCCCTGAACAAATGAAGAGACTGACACTCTAATAAAAGAAGCCATAGAAATGGAGCCTTCCACCCTTTAGATCCATTTTACACCTGTGCATTAGAGAATATGTGCTTCTCTTTAGCGGCATGAGAAATGCACAGAGTAGTCTCCATTTGCCCCTCCATCTCTGCCTGTCATCCTTCTCCACTTATGCCATGACCCTCAAAGCTGGTGTCTCTTGCCTGCCTTTATTACCTCCTAACTTCTGATGGGGTTTGGCTGATGGTAGACAAGGGAATAAATTGGAGGATATCATGAGAGTAAGGTCAGAGTGCACATAGCTCCAACTTCCTCCTTGCCAGGGTTCAGGATAGTAGTCTCTGTTCTCTTTGACTGAGGCAGGTTGTGCTTTCCAGCTAGAAGTTCACTGGGTTCTTGGGGCATCGCCATTCTCTCAGCCCTTTAGGCTCAGAGTGGTTGTGGCTTATTCACAGTGCTTTACTATTCCAGTTACATCTTTGTGCATATGACTCATTGGGCTCTCTTCAACTCCTCTTGTCAAAGTATCATTTGTCTTTGTTCATGACCCTAATAGCAAATGGAACCAGAAACAGCCTAAGAAATCCCTAAAAGTGGGATTCTGGACTTGGACTGCTCACATGTTCATTTAGCAGATATGGGCTTATTATGTGAGCAGCACTGGTTGTTATGGTTTGTAATGACCTCATGATTATATAAATTACTAGGTGCAGCACGGGATGGGATGGAATGAACCAGAGAGTACAGATTTTGTAATCAATGGCCTTCAGTCTTTAGTCACTCTTGACATAGTCTCTTGGCAATGCTGGTGACAAAGACTGTGGTGTGGCCTGGTTATCCACTCTAATGAGTATACACAGCACAGATAGCAAATGAAAGTGTTGTATGTCCAACCAAGAGCATAAACAGAGCATTAAAAAGTCTCTGAGATCTGCAAGACAGAGCCTATATAAGAAAGTGACTCAACGTCCCAGGTCACTTATTCTTACTTCCCGAAGGCTTCCTGATGAGTCTCTAATGGCTAGTTTAAAAGGTATGATGTTACAGATCAGTTTATGTCTGGGTCTACAGAATATTCTAGAATCAACCAGGAATGCTGACCCTCACCTGTAGATCTGCTCAGCAGTGATCCCAGCAGATGGTAGAGATGGCCAGTCCTCCAAGTGGGTAGAGCTTTTGGAATTGAAGAGCTTTGAATAAACAGCACTGAAAACCTGGTGACAAGGAAGTCTGGAGAGAAATACAGAGATGTAGCTCTGGAAATGGACACTGAGTATGAAGATATCTATGTGAAGATACTTATCTCTGAGAGCATAACTGGCTTGGCTAAAATGAAGATATTATAAACAGACATGTGTCTCTCTCAATCTGATATCTCATACAGTTGAAGCAATAGACCTCTCAAAATGAGAATTTCCCCAGGAGTCTCTTGATGGGAGAAGGAAAAGTCTCCAGAAAGAGATTTCACATAGTTCTAACAGCTTGTCATGCCATCTTATAGGATAATGCTGAATCCCAGAGAAGATGGGTCAGTGGGAGGGCAGGACTCATCTCGACTTGCCCTGCTTAAGCATGCATATATTCAGCCCTCTATTTAAGCTTTGGTTTTACTTCAGGACTCTGAAGATGGACTTGGGATATCCTCTTTGTCCTTCTTCCCAATGTGGCCACATTAAATAAACCTCCTTTTTTTTTCTATTTTCCACTTTTAATTTGGCCCACTTTTAATTTGGCTTATGGAGGACAGGTGGCCAGACCTTACTTGCGTCACAGATTATGACCCCCCCCCAAGTTTGCCAACAAGAGCACTGGTTACAGATAAAGCTTCAATCAGATGGTCAGGGTGATGTGTCTGAATAAAACTGGTCTCTTTTTAGTACATACACAACAGAGCACTATGCAGGTCTCTTTGAGTTAACCTTGTACTAGGTCCATGTGTGGTTACAGAAACAAGGATAAAGTGCATACATCTGTTAAAAAAAAAAAAAAGGCATCCCCTCACCAAGACTGACCTGGCTTTCACAATTACCAAGACCATCCTGGGAAAAAGCCAATATAAACCTCTACTGGAAGATCATTCCTTAAAAGACCTGCAACTTTCAGATAGCAGGATGCTTACAATGAATCTTTCCTGTTATGGAAAAGGAAAGGTTTGTCTTCATAGGAAAAGATGCCTTTTTTGTTCATGGAAATTTCTTTCCTTAGAATATTCCAATAGACACTCTCATTCAGGGCTATGTGGACAATATTATCTAGTCTGATGCTATTCTATGCATCATTGGCTGTAATTTGTCATTTTATAACAACCAGAGAAACACAGCATGGGGATCAAGACTAAAGAATTTTCTGGTATGCCCTCTCATCCAGAAGGAGCTGTATGGAAGCATGGCTGTATAATCAACCCTGAGACACAAACACCACTTTCAGGTTTCTGTGGTCTAGGTGCTTGAACTTGGATCGGCTGAGAACTTTTACTTAGGATCTTCCACAAGGCCTCAAGCTAGACATTGGTCAGGGCTATAAACATCTCAAGACTTGTCTCCCAGGAATAACTACTCCCACTCATATGGCTATTGGCAGAAGATGACAGCTTCTTGCCAGGCAGATCTCCCCAGAGAGCAATTCACAACAAAGCAGCTGGATTCCATGAGAGCAAGCAAACAAAAGAGTGAAAGAAAACAAATGGGACACAGCTTTTCTTTAGCCTAGTCTTAGTGACATCATCTCATTGTGCTATATTCTATTCATTAGAAGCAAGTCACCAGGTCTAGTCCATATTCAAGGGGGAAGGAATACACTGGACCAAGAATGTCTGGAAGCAGGGGGTCGTTGGGAACACACACACACACACACACACACACACACACACACACACACACACACACACACACACACACACACATACAAACACACACACACACACACACACACGCACATATGGAAGAGAACCATCTCATATAACCCTCAAAACAACAGTAAGATGACCTGTCTAAGTGCCAGGTAGGTTATGGCTCTATCCAGAAGGCAGCAGCCCGTGTGGGCAGAGTACTATTGCACAGTATGCAGGATATGCAGGGGTGCCGTGGTGCCATCTCCACCATCCAGAGAATGAATAGCTCTGGAAAAGTGTAGAGAAGTACCCACATTTACCAACCTCACTAGCGCAAGAAATAACCTGATTTGGAGATGGTTGTCTCTTCCTTGTATTCTTTTTTGTTTGGTTGGTTTTATTTTATTTTATTTTATTTGAGACATGGTTTCTCTGTGTAGCTTTGGAGCCTCTCCTGGAACTCATTCTGCAGATCTTGTTAGCTAACCTTGAGCTAAGAGAGATCAGCCTGCCTCTGCCTCCCAAGGCTGGCATTAAAGACATGCACCACCATTACCCAGCTCTTCCTTGTGTTCTCAAGAGCAGGGGCTTTGGAGGTTCTAATGCCCAAGGGTGGAATATTCCTCCTAATACTCCTCCATAACTATGAGGAGAAACACAAAAGAGAAGAAAGAGAAGGCCATTGCTTTTCTAAGGTACAACGGGAGTGCAAGAAAGACAAAGATCAGGGGTGTTGGTGCTTCATACCAGTTGTTGACTGGATTTTTGAATAATCTAAGAGATGAGTGAAGCATACTTATGGATGTGTCTATGAGACTGTTTCCAGTGAGGACTGACCTGGGGAGAGCAGACTCACGCTGAATGTGGTACCACCATCTCATCACGGGGAGGCTCAGGTGGCATAAAAGGGGGGAAGGAGAAAGCTGATGGTGTGCCATCCCCCCTTCCTTCCTGGCCTATCATAACATGAACTGTTCTGTTCTGTCTCATCCTCCCCACCCAAATTGACTGACACCTCTAAAGCTGAGCCAAATGACCGTTCCTTAAGTTGTTGTTGTTGTAGGACATTTTGTTACAGTAGTGCAGCAGTAACTAGGATGGGACCATGACCTGATAATACTCTTCCTTGGAGTCCTGATCGTGTGGTCTGCAAATGAAGAGGACTCCTGTGTTTTTCTGGATTACAACAGGGAAAAGAACAAGTGATGATGGTGGCAAAGGGGAACATGGAATTGGGCAACCGAAGAAGGGAACAATAGTTATCACTTTAGGCAAAAGGATTAGGTAGAGAAATAGGGTCTGCAGAGGCTGTAATTTAGGATAATTATATCTTTGCCTCTGTTTTCTCCCACTACCTTCTAAGAAGAGTACACATTGTGAAGAAATGCTATTTCAAGTGAAAGTATAACTGAGTCCATCTCCCTGACATGACACAGTAGTTGAGAGACTTTCAGAGGCAAGTAGGTAAAAGGAGTGGACAGGAATGAGCAGCAGCCACACTCCTGCCCATCGCTCTCTGCTCTCCACTACCATTGTGCTCCAGGAGGCTGACATGTAATGGGTCCGTGACATGGGGATCTGAGAGGAATGAACAAGACTCTAGTTGGTGGAAATAGTTGTTTCTTCTTTCTGCTCCTTCATGTCAGTGGATATTAGAAGTTACTGCTTTTCTGTCAACGGTTGGCAACTGTGACTAAGCGTGGGCCCTTTCAAAGGCAGTTTCTACAAAGACAACTTGAGTCCCCGTAGCTAATTTGGAAACTGACTCCATGAAGCAGAGGGAATGGAGAAAACCCAATAGAAGGCTTATTAACGATCTAGTTGTTGTCATGGGCACCTGTGGTGTAATCACCTTGGGGATGCTGTGAGGAAAGTTCAGTTGTACCTCAGAACAGTTTCCCAGAGCCTAAGAAATTTGAGGCATTTCTCCATGGACTTTTCATCCACAATCTCCTGAATCTACTTCTGGGAACAACAACTCGATTCATTTTTCTGCTATACCTCTTAAATGTCTTTCAACAACTTTAGAGAAATCCTGAAACAAGATTGAGAGTCATCTTCAATGGTTTCCTCTTGTTCTTGATGTAGGACACAGCAAAAGTGCAAGAAACAGTCCATTATTTTAAGGTCAGGTTACTGTGGGTCTGGACCCAAGAAGACCAAGAAGATTCCTGTCATCAGCATCTTCTCACTCTTAACAGACACAGGAGTCCCAGGTCTGCTTCTTCTATTTGACCCCTAACGATTCCTTTTTTTTTTCCCACTGAGGAAGTGGACACCTTTGAAAACACCTTCCCCATCAACTCTCCAATCCTTCTAATCATTTTTGTGCTGAAAACTCTAACAGATAATAAATATGTCTATAGAAGGAAGCACACAATGAGCTTGATTTAGATTATGGTTACAATTAATGATATGGGCAGCTTTCATGGTAATTTACTCATTTGAATCAAGGTTTCTTTTCTCTGTGTCTCCCATCTGATAACATTTATTTTTGAGATTCTAAGGAGTGAACCCAAAGTTTTGTGCATGCTAGGCAAGTGGTTTACCACTGACCCGTATTCCCAGCTCCTACCTATGTCTCGAGATGGGAGGGAGAGAGACCTTCATAGGCTCCCTTACAGCAAGGTTATTCACCAGTCAGATATTGTGCCCCTGAGTCTCACCAAGAGAGCCCAGGGAGGCCAACTCAGGAATCCTGATAGCAAACCAGTGGCAGCTGGGACAGCTTTCATTTAATCCCTGAGAGCCACAGTATCTCAAGTACAGAAATAATATCCCTGCCCAGAAAAATGCTTGTAGTGGCATTGGAGAAATCAAGGTATAGTTTGGGGTGATGTCCTTGGCTGTGTAGATTCTAATCTGAATGCAGCTGCCTTTAAAGTTCTGTTAGCAAATAAATGTCTCTCAAGAGAATCACCATTCTCACATTTTCTGCAATAATTGCCAGAATCTGTCTCTGTACTTTACAAAGTGTCAATAAATAGGATACATTTCTTTCTGAGTGTGTAGTATCAGATTAATTGGTGGATTTAGTTTTGGGCTTGTTTTTTTTTTTTTTTTTTTTTTTTTGGTTTTTCAAGACAGGGTTTCTCTGTGGCTTTGGAGGCTGTCCTGGAACTAGCTCTTGTAGATCAGGGTGTCTCGAACTCACAGAGATCTGCCTGCCTCTGCCTCCTGAGTGCTGGGACTTTAGTGACATGTGCCACCATGGCCTGGGCTAATTGGTGGATTTAGAAAGTAGAATCAATGACTGAAATAAAGTCAAAGTACTAAATTTGAACAAATTTATTGCCAAGTGAATCATTTATGTGTGTCTGTCTGTTTGTTGTCTCTCCATGTATGTATACCACTAAATTTGAAAATTTGAACAGACTTATTGCCAAGTGAATCATTTATATGTGCCTGTCTGTCTTTCTCTCTCTCCATATATGGGGAAGTTATATGCTATGGAAAGTGAAATTTACATGTCAATTTTTTTGTTTGATTTTTTGCTGTATTACTTCATTTGTTTTTTAATA